CTGGGAGTTGAAGTCCACTCATCTTAAAGTGGCCAAGTTTGGACAACACTGCTTTAACTGGTAAAGTTCTTTGTAGATTAACAATTTAAACACTGCAATGGATAAGGACTTAACACCTGCTTAGTTTATTTTATATGATACTACACTCAGTTCAACTATTGTTTTAAAAGGATAGTGACTGATTTGTTCATAAAGTCAGTATCCAACTATAACATCTTCATTTAAATTTATTGCTAGATGACATAAAGGTTAATCATATTAATCATTGTGGATATTTCATGGTTAATGCTCATCATAACTATAAATATCAGGTGATATTGAGTTGTTCTTCAATAATTAATAGTTTTGGCTTGGATCCATATCTCTATTTTGGTGAGCAGAAGGGCTTATTCCATTCTTTGAAGGGACTGTAATCAAGAAGGCTTGCTGCTGAAGGCAGAGAAGTAAATCTTTGTGATTTTTCCTCCAGTGTTTTGCATCATGCTGCTTCAGAGAGTCCCAAAGACCTCCACAGCAGCTTTTCAGAAAACTGCAGAAAGAAAGGGAATAGCCAGGATAGAAGTTCTTACTGTACTTTTCATTTGAATTATCATCATTAGTCCTATCACATTGTCACCAAAAAGCAAGTGCAAATTAAAAGTGCTCGAGTTGCTCTTTATTTTTTCAATGTTTATGAATTAATGATGACTGAGAAGATCACGTACAAGAAATAAAATTGGCAAAACTGATAGCACAGTTTTCAGGCATTTGAAATGTAGGCATTTTTAATCCCAACATGTTGCATAACATAAGAAAGTAATTCCTTAATAGGTTTTTCTCTAACATATCCTTTCATGATTTGCCTCATACTTTACTTATTGAGTTATGTAATGCTTTTTTCCCTTTCCTTTTTTGTTGCTCCTTCATGATATCTCCCTTCGCTTTCATCTTACTGAACTACTTAACATGCAATTTACCTGAAAAATGACTATACCACATCTGTATATCATAACATAATGCCTCTGGCACACACTATTTTATAATAATTAACACCCTTTTTAACATTATGTTTTCTTGGCCTCTGTTTTTTTAATAACCTCCATACAAAGGTAAAATTAGATGTCCTATCTGAGGGCCCAGATTCCAGCTCTAGCAGTGGACCCTGTTTGTATATCAGATAAGAAAAATAGTTTTAGGATTAAGGCTTGAAGCTGTGCCTAAGATATTGTGGTCTGTTTCTCCTTGTCAGATCTGGTGCTCAGAAAATCCTGAATTCTTCTCTGGAGATAAGTGATGGACTATATGCAAGTTAACAAGTTCCTAGAAAAATGTGACATACTTTGACCAGTAAATAAATCTGAGATTGAGTACAATCTATTCTAGATGGGTTTATGCTCTTTCTGTGTATCAGATTCATGGAACAGTACAGGAGTGAGAATGCAGAATCCAACATCCTCTTGGAGTATCAAGGGCTGCTGTTGCTAGGAACATCTTTGCTCAGCTTCAACTGATGTACTAGTTTGCACCTTTTCCTGGAGAAGAAAACTCTAGTCAGTGTTTCTTTTCTTAATAATCTTTCTCCCATTTAAATTTCTGTAATGCACTCTATATAGACTGCCTTTCAAAGAACCATTATAGTATAGCAATGAAGGTGTTGGACTGGGACTGGAAAAAAATGTGCAAGTCAGTATAGAACTCACCTGTATGCTTTTGGATCACTTACTATTTCTGAGTGGGTTGCTATGCAGGGCACAACGGTGACGGGCTACCCTGTCAGACTTTCTCCTAGTAATCTGGACAAGAAATAATAAATCCAAAAAACAAGTCTTTCAGAGCTCTAACTAGTAATATTTATTAGAAAAAAGGTAAAAGTTATAGTACAAGAATTCAAGTAAATACAGGTAGTCCTCGCTTAGCAACCACTTGTTCAGTGACCATTCGAAGTTACAACAGCACTGAATAAGGAGACTTACAACCGGTCCTTGAAGTTGCAGCCACTGCAGTGTCCCCATGGTTGCATGATCATGATTCAGGCACTTGGCAACCCGTGCACATTTACAATAGTTGCAGCATCCCATAGTCATGTGATAGTCATTTGCGACCTTCTCAGCTGGCTTCCAACAAACAAAATCAATGGGGAAGCCAGCAGGAAGTTGCAATCAGGGCCATGTGATGTCACATTTAATGATGCACAATGATTCTCTTAATGACAGCAGCCAGAACAGACAAACTGACATCATAAGTCAGGCACAGTCACATGACATTTCACTTTACAACCCAGTCCCAGTTGTGGTTGGTAAGTGAGGACTACCTGCATTTTCTTTTCAAATAAGGCACAAATATATAAATTTATTTTCTTGATTGTGTGTATGTACTATTATGGTGGAGGGGGCTGGAAGCCTTTTACTTT